CTCAGAATTTTTCTAAAGATACTTTATTCGATGCAGAATTTGATGCTGATCGTGAATATCAGGTCAAAACTGGAAAATAGTTAAGTTTTGATCGAAAAAAATCGATTTTACTGACAGGTGGCGTCAGCGACCTGGTTCATTAAAAACAGATTTTTTTTGAGCCAACCTCTCATTTTTCGAGGGATCGAGCCATCGGCTATAGCAACATTCTCATTAATCAAAAAGGCTTTCATATGTGTTTGTATCGTTTGTTATATATGTTTAATGACCATATTTTCAACTGATTTTAATCATTGCTGCAATTGCAGTAATGAATTATAATATGAAATATCTAAGAGCTGAGCACGTGTATTCAAATGGTAGGTAGAGGCCTGAGGGACCAAGTCCCAGTCCCGTGAAGAAAAAAATTTTGGTCCCGTAAATACTTTTTCAAAGTAGCGCTGATGGTTTGAAAGTCAGCGCGTTGTAATGTGGCTCGTGGAACAGCTTGCGTGGGTGGTATTAATAAAGACTTTTAGAATTTTCTATGAGTTCTTTCTCGTAGAACTGCTGTCTGCATACAGACAAGTACAGAAAGTAAGAAATGTTTATGTTCCATACTAGACTATTTTCAAAAAGACCTGGTCTCGATCGCATTAGACCAGGACATCCCGCACGATCGGGACCGTCCCGCAGATCTCTAGGTCCCAGTCCCGTAAAAAGTTCCGCGGGACCGGGACAGTTCCGTAGACTTCTAATGATAGGCAGATGTTGAACTATCATGAGAAGAGATTCGCTTAGAATATGGTCTTCTTTTTTAAGTAACTTCGATGTTACAATGTCATCCTACACGTGTATTTTATCGATAAATACCATTTTACTAAGACCTCTCATATATATAAATTATATATTGTACATTGAAATAAATTACGAATTTGGACCAGGCTCATCAATCTATATCCTTCATATAGAAAAGAATCATAAACAAGAATTATGTATAACGACCTTTCTCTTTCTCTCTGTTCTACTGACGTTATTAGTACGGGCAGTAGTAAGTGACATTCTTTCCTATTCTTCTTGTGCGCTATGACCTAATGATGCCATGTTCTGACCCGTTCTTCTGATGTCATTAGATCCTTTTCTGATCCTTTCACGGATGTTCGGAAATATGTATATAAACATAGCTATGTTAAACGTTTTGTTAGTCGTTCTGAAGGCGACAAAAAAAATATTTTCATATCAGGAGATAGCTGATACATTGATCTTTAGAGTCCATCACGATGAAAAGCCACTTTTACTTTTTCGCAAAATATGTGCCAGACTTGGCAAGTACAATTATTAACGAAGTTAGATCTATTATTATATCGAACTATTTTGATTTGTGCAATCAATCATAGAACAAAAAGACGCTGTTTCAGTGTTCGTAGTTTGATGAAGACTGAATCAACATTTGTTTTTCAAAAAGTTTCAAAAATCTAGTGAAAACCTATATTAGGTGAAATATCCCATTTTTGCCTATTCTTGAGTAAAATCAAAAAATTCACAACCCACTCAAGATCCCATCGAATTATGTCAGCATATCAAGATATACTCTATTTTACTGCTCCAAACCATTTTTTAGTTGAAAATAGTAAAAAAGATTCTTGTACTTTGAAAGATTTATAGAAAAGCTTTTCAAAAACCAAAGTATTTTCTGTTGAGTTTTAAAGCTTTTATTGAACTGAATAGTACTGAGCAGGTAAAATAGAGTATATCTTGATATGTTGACATAATTCGATTGGATCTTGAGTGGGTTATGAATTTTTTGATTTTACTCAAAAATAGGCAAAAATGGGATATTTCACCTAATATAGGTTTTCGCTAGGTTTTTGAAAAACAAATGTTCCTACAAGATTCAGCTTAGTCGATGACCTATGTTTTCAAGCATTTCTGACAGTCTAAAGCTAACGACAGAGAAGTCATAAGGCTTCGGGAAAAAAGTCAGTAGTGCCCAGACCAAGTAGAGCCAAATTTTTGCTTAGTTTTGACTCGATATAACATCTGATCTGACCTTGTAGCTTTAACACAAGGCAATGCCATGTAACAAAATGGATTATGTACATCTTCCAGACGACTTTGACATGATCATTGTTTGATCAATATTGGATATCGATTACCGGTTGTAAATTCGAGTAGTTGCAAGTCTTTGGGTAAGACAGAGACGACTTCCAACGGATTCTTACAGATATGAAGTAGGAATGCATCAGCTCCGGTATCAAAAACAGCAAATCAGGCGGGCACTTAAAAACGTTCAGTGTTCGAGATAAAATCACATATACAGTCATAAACAAAGAGAAATTTTGTGTCCTTAACTACTTCAACGGAGGTGATAAAACTAAGCCGTTTTCACAAAGACTTTTGAAAACAAGTTTATGCTGCTTTAGATGATGGTTTAGTGCAGAAAATTCGCCTCGTAATCGACAAAATAGTGCATCAATTCTCCGATTCAACGGCCAGGGTAATTTGTTTGCAGGAGGTAACAAGTGGCTTTTAATTTCTATGCAGAACTTATAAAGTTTCAATTTATTTACCAGACCTTCGTTGAAAGAGCTCAGTCCACTCTCTAATAGCAGTTGGAAAGAAATTCTGGAAAAAAACATTCTTGTCCCTATAACCATACAGTTGCTGGCTGTTGTTGTTGCCTAAAGAATATTTCGTGTTCTTTGGGTCGATAAACTTAATGTACTGATTGGGTGTCCTAATTACTCCAAAGTAATATTTAGAAAACATTCACATTCTATTGACAAAGAACCAGCTTTGTTCCTTGAGCAATTTTATCTTCGAGATACTTTTCATCGCACCACTCACAGTTAAACATAGTTGACACTCGAAGTATTTCTCTGTGTAGTTAATGAGTAGTACTCGCTTCCGTAGTTCACCACAGATTGGGCAAAAAGTTTATATACGCTGTTGTGCGCAGCACGATTATGATTCCATTTAACTGCGTTTAACAACATATAATTATGAATTAAATTAACTTCGCCGAAAACGTAGTCCACATGGTAATTATAAGTGTGATTAAAAGTAAAAAATAGTGCGAAATGTTTATGCAGCGTTACTTCCTTAACCGAATGTGGTTGGATTACTAGGGGAGGAAAAGAATTCGAAGTAACTGCTCGTTTACGAAAAGCAGTGGACCCAGGATGGAGCCCTGAGAAACCCCCGCAATTTATCTGTAGGGCATCAGAACCAAAATTATCTATTACTGTCCTAATCTTTCTGCCCTATAGGTAATTCTCTATCCAAGAAGAGTTTAAAACCGTTACTTGAGAACGTAATCATAACTTGACATCACCAGCCGAAGAACAAAGCTTTCAGTTGGAAAACGAAACACAGAAAAGTGTTAAGCGTACGTCGGGTACGGGTCGAATACGGATACAAAGCTCACGAGCCAGATCGAGTACGGACGAAAAACATTTTAGAGTCGGGAATGGGTCGAAAAACGGTAGCTCTAATGAGGATAGATATACTGCTCAAAATATGAGCGAGATAACTTAGCATAGATAACTCTATTTCATCAAACAATTTCTGTCGCCTTTTACGTTCACTGTTGAGCTTTCCGCCTAGACTATCTCAGTCCAGGAGAAGTCATATTCCTCTCTTCGCGCAGTCACATTCGTTTTCTACATGTCAAAAATGACGCCTGTCCCTCTACACAGAAGATATGCTTTGTCAGAGCTACTTTCTCCTTATCTGTTACGTCACAACTCAAACAACGAGTTTCGATTCTGCTGAGTCTTCATAGCAGAGAAGAACACCAAACAGTGATGTCATCATGAAAACACTTAAATGAAGTTGGCAAAAACATATTGCAAGTGACAGCAGAATGAGTGCAAACGTTGATTTCATATCTCGAAGAGAGATGCAGCATGACTTATCAGACCGATTGCTCAGTACTTGTGGCAACGATGAATGTTTGAAACAAGCACAGAATAGTAAGTTGATCATGTGTTCCTCAACCACATTCATTGTGGCACATACAAAGCTGATGATTGCAGTGTGTTGATAATAGTGGGGAGAGAGAGAGGTGACATCCATGATCGAGACCATACTAAAATGCTAGCAGCCATCCATCCATCCAAAATTAGCCTCGGAGGATATGACAGTGCCTAATAGTCGGAAGAATCATCACTTAATATGATCCCGTCACTCATCTTCGAGAGGTAGTATCCACCTTGCCATTCTCTCTGCTTTACACTTCAGAGGCTCTGTACATATAAGAAAGACCAAGGATTCAAACTCTTGATAATGCGCATTTGTTTAGATGTGACACAATTTGAATCGCTTGCGAATGAAGTGATTCTTGAAATCCTCGAGTATTTGGACGTTTATGATATTCTCGATTCATTCCTTCGACTAAACGATCGGTTCGATGGACTACTCGGCAGTCTACAGTTTGATCTGAACTTCCAACGCATCAGCAAATACAGATGGGACTTTATCTGCGAACACTTTCCATCAACGGCACAAGTTCGTTCTCTGTGTCTGTATACAGATATCTCCAATCCCTTTGACTTGTTCTTCATCCACTTTCCGAAGAACACATTGGTAACTCTTCGCTCTTTATCCTTGTTAGACATCACGCCAGAACAAGTGACCAACGTCGTGGTGCCACGCTTGTTCTACATGCCAAAACTATCGTCACTAACACTGGCTATGAGATTACGCGGTCAGATGGTTCATAATGCTTTTGAGCAAGCCATTGCCAAACTTGCAAACGAGTTGAAAGAACACAAGACTCTGACTGAACTTGATCTTGGATCCAATAACCAAATATCCGCGAGAGGAGGTGAAGCACTAGCAGAAGCACTGAAAGTAAACAACACGCTCATCAAACTTGATCTTTCAGGCAATCAAATATGCGATATAGGATGTGAAGCACTAGCAGAAGCACTGAAAATAAACAGCACTCTCACCAAACTTGACCTTGCAATGAGCCAAATATCCAAGAGAGGATGTGAAGCACTAGCTGAAGCACTGAAAGTAAACAGCACTCTCACTCAAATTTATCTTAATGACAACAAAATATTCGATAGAGGAGTTGAAGCACTAGCAGAAGCACTGAAAGTAAACAACACCCTCACTAAACTTGACCTTGCAATGAACCAAATATCCGAGCGAGGAGGTGAAGCACTAGCCGAAGCACTGAAAGTAAACAGCACTCTCACTCAACTCCATCTTGCAGGCAACCAAATATGCGGTAGAGGAGGTGAAGCACTAGCTGAAGCACTGAAAGTAAACAGCACTCTCACTCAACTTCGTCTTGGACGCAACGAAATATCCGATAGAGGATGTGAAGCACTAGCAGAGGCACTGAAAGTAAACAACGCTCTCACTCAACTTCATCTTAAAGGCAACCGAATATCCGATAGAGGAGGTGAAGCACTAGCTGAAGCACTGAAAGTAAACAGTACTCTCACTCAACTTGATCTTGCGGAGAATGAAATAGCCGAGAGAGGAGGTGAAGCACTAGCTGAAGCACTGAAAGTAAACAACACGCTCACTAAACTTTATCTTGCGGAAAACCGAATAACCGAGAGAGGAGGTGAAGCACTAGCTGAAGCACTGAAAGTAAACAACACACTCACTCAGCTTTATCTTAAATTCAACAAAATATCCGATAGAATTGATGAAGCACTAGCAGAAGCACTGAAAGTGAACACAACTCGCACTCAACCAGATATTTGTAAGACGTACTAACACCCAAAAGACCCCGAAATTAAAATCTGAAATAGCCAATCGATAGAGCTCGTTTAGTTGAATCTGCTAACACCCAAAATAATCATTAATAGCTGAGCTTTTTAGCCATTTTTACAAATAAACACCCATTAACACCCAGAAGAAATGACACTAACACGAGAAAAGTAAATCTAGTTGATCTACATGAATCCTACTGGTACGCTCTTTTACCGGAATATTTGGGTAATTTTCACACCCTTTGCAGCCATTGTAAATTGACTGTAGTAGTAGGTAGGTGTAGGTACCTTATCGTCCTCAGAATTCTTTGCTCTATCAGACTATATAGTTTACAAAAGTTTCTGACGAAAAACCAAAGACTTGGTTTACTGGCGGTCAGGTTTTCCAGAAAGCATATTATCACGTTTTCTCATATAGTGGAGATATGCACTTCATCTGATAGAAAAAGTGACTTTGAACTCTGAAGAAAGCTCGTTTACTATTGAGGAAACAATTGACCTTTTAAATCTTATTTCAGAAACACCAAAACGTTTTCCTCGATCAAAAATCGTACCAGTAGGCTCAGAGATCCACGCAGATCAACTTAGTATACTGTTTTGGGTGTTAGTGGATGTTTATTTGTGAACATGGCTAAAAAGCTCAGCTATTAATGATTATTTTGCGCGTTTTAGCAGACTCAACTCAACGGGCTCTATCGATTGGCTATTTCAGATTTTAATTTCCAGGACGTATGGGTGTTGGCCCGTTTTACAAATATTCCACTCAACTTGATCTTGGATGAAGCCAAATATCCCGCAGAATTGAAAGAGCGGGAGAGGCGTTGCAATAAGATGGAATACTCGTGCTGTAATATGCTTTGCAGGCAGCGTGGTTTTGTTTTTCTGTGGAAGTTTTCCGGTTTCTCTGTGTATCTTTTATGTGTGATTGTGGTCAACATTTCTTGAATTATTCAACATGAGTCGAACCGCTTTTTTGCAGATATACGAGCTAGATCGCATTCATTGCATTGACGATGAGACTCAAGGTAAAGTTGAGCGCAAGTTTTGAAATAGACTTATTGCCGCTCGAGTCACTGTTAAAGTATTATATGTTAGTACTACAAATGCATATTCGTAGCTTATAAAACATAGAATGTAGGTAACGTTGCTATTTAAAAACTTAGTCCCAAAACCATCAGTAGTTTGTTTGAGTTGTGAACTTCTTTACGATAACAATGATGATAATATTGATTGTGTTGACGATATTTGATGTTCATTTTGTACTGAATGTTGTCGCTACTATTGAGTCTCTTGACTATGGTTGATGATCTTTGAAAAAATATTTATTGTTATCTTCTAAATACAGAAAAAGTACAAATTTCATTCATCACATGTTTTTCCTGGAATCAAATAATGATGTTTCCAAAAGGAAACGAAAATTGCATATAGTTTTGCATTTCAATGTTGAAGCCAGTCTTCACGAACATTATCTATCAAAACACGAATTCAAATTCGAAATATGTGTAATGGAAAACAGCTAACCATCAATATACATGGACATACTATATCTGTTTCACACTAGAAGTGTCAAATAATTTAAAGAAATTTTGAAACATCCATGAATTTGAATGGATTTAAACAAAAAGCGTTCAAATTACTATCGGCGCCAGAAGTTAAGACACATGAATGTTTTTCGAATAACTTTCGATAGAAATGAGATAGAGACCTGCAGCTTTCACCATCATATTGTAAGACGAAAAAGCATAACAACAGCAGCAGTGTGAATCATTTTATTTTATTTTTAAATTCCGACGTGCTGCTGTTGTTATGCTTTTTCTTCTGAAAATTCTACCTATTAGCAATAATAATATTGTAAGACCTTAAGACATATTTCTATAAGCGGAAGCTTGTTTCAAAATTTTCGGGAACTCTCATTTTCCAGAAGATCTTCGGAAAACCACCTCCGTTCTCAGAAAACTAACATACAATGTTAGTAATTCTTTTTGCATGTGTGGGTAGTCCGGACATTACTCTACTAAATTATGCAAGTCCCAGCTCTTCAGCTATCGTTGTTCGGACAGGGCTCGCTTTTTCCCCGAACGCGCGTCTTTCTCCAAGTAGACATCTCTGGGAATCTTAAAATGCCATGGGATATAGGTAATCGACTACGCTAAGCATAGTGGCAACATTTGTTTCCGTGTAGAAAAGAAAACAACTTCACCAGAAGCATTTTTGTGAAAAAACGGTTTTTTGTTAGTTACTAGCAAAAATTAACATCCTTATATCTCGGTCAAAGCTCATCGGGAGTCAAGAAAACTTTCAGAAAACGCTCAGAACATCTCATAAATCAAAATCGAAGACGAAAAAGGTGAATTTCAGGTGGCATTAGTTTAAGGTTTTCCAGAAACCTTCTGAAAAACTTCAAAGGCTCAGTGTTCTGTTGGACCACTTTTTCGGCTCGATGGAGAATATATGGCACCTTTTAAGCCTTTCCTGAAAGCTTCCTTGAGTTAGCATGAGATTTGACCGAGATAAAATGACGTTGGCAAAAACATCACGTCTATTCAGTCCTCTGATTACAACTAACAGCAGAATGAACACAAACGTTGGTTTCATATCCCGTAGAGAGATGCAGCATGACTTATCAGACCGATTACTCAGTACTTGTGGCAACGATGATGTTTGAAACAAGCACAGAGTGGTAAGGTGATCATGTGTTCCTCAACCACATTCATTGTGGCACACACAAAGCTGATGATTGCAGTGTGTTGATAATAGTGGAGAGAGAGAGAGGTGACATCCATGATCAAAGACCATACTAAAATGCTAAGTGGCATCTATATATGTATATATATATAAAGAAATAATCTTGACTCAACAATAACTGAGTGAACATTCTTTGTGGTCATGAGATGAAAGAATGTTGTGAGTCAACATTCTTTCACTAGAACTTGAAAAGAGAAAAAGAAGAAGAATGTATGACTATGTGAGTATTGCTCACATAACAAAGTAGAATTGTAAGATACAATATCGATTTCTATTAGGGACAAATGCTGAAACTGGTATCCTGCGGATCTTTTTCAGAGATCACGAAGCATGTCTAATCAATCGCGCTTGGTCTGTTCAAGTTAAAAATGGGAAGTAATCACGATGCGTCTGTCCATATGGTATAGAATCACGCATATTTTCCGAATAAACTTATAGGATGTAATTGCTTTACCAGTTTTAATTTTCCTCACAAAAGTTCTTATGCAAGTAACAAGCTTTTAGCTTTTTGCTCAAGAAATGTATTTCTTATTATGATAAAACCTGCTGGCAAGAAAAAAACAAAAACATTGAAGTGTCAGGACCGAGAGTTGGACTCGCGATCCAGTGAGATAGTACTCTAGCGGCCCGACGCCGTTTCACCCGTGGCCATTCTGCTTCGCTATGTTCTTTTCTTTCACCAAAGTGGAAAAATCTCAAACGAAATTTTCGGAAAATAAATAATTAGGATTTATCCCATCAAGGAAGCAGCTGAAAGAGTTATGGCTAGAACAAAAAATCTTCAAAATTTGGTTCTGCATTGAACAAAGCTCATATGGATTTGGGAAAATTCATAGTTCGCTAGAAAACACCTAACTACTGTTTTTCGCACTAGGAGGACATCCCAGACTTTCGGGCCTGGAACAAAACAATGTACAGAATTAAATTCTGTGCAAAAGCAAAGGTATTCGCCTAATATCTTATGGACTTCTGGAAACGCGTTAATTAGAAGGAAAACCGGCTATCGTAAAACTGCCCAACAAAACTCTCTACAATAAAACTGAATTCCGTTAACGGGTTGATTTCATGACAAAATGGTCCTTCTCCTCTACCAAGTGTTTCCTTCAAGATGAAAGATGCTGCTCTTTGATCATGGATGTCACCTCTCTCTCTCTCTCTCTCTCTCTCCACTATTATCAACACACTGCAATCATCAGCTTTGTGTGTGCCACAATGAATGTGGCTGAGGAACACATGATCACCTTACCACTCTGTGCTTGTTTCAAACATCATCGTTGCCACAAGTACTGAGTAATCGGTCTGATAAGTCATGCTGCATCTCTCTACGGGATATGAAATCAACGTTTGTGTTCATT